TCTTCTTCCTTTTTTTTTTGTTATTGGTTTTTATTATTATTATTTTTATTTTTTGTTAATCCTCACCCAAGGATATTTTTCCACTGGTTTTTAGAGAGAGTGGAAGGGAGGGGGAAAGACCGAGAGAAACATGGATGTGAGAGAAACGCATCGATTGGTTGCCTCCTGCACACACCCAGACCAGGACCAGGGATCAAGCCTGCAACCGAGGGACATGCCCTTGACCGGGAATCAAACTCGGGACCCTCAGTCCACAGGCCAACGCTCTATCCACTGAGCCACACTGGCCAGGGCCCTCCACTGGTTTTTAGAGTGGAAGGGAGGGAGAAACAGAGAGAAAATCGATGTGAGAAAGACACACTGACTGGTTGCCATCTGCACGTGTCCCAGCCGGGGCCAGAGATGGAGCCCGCAACCAAGGGACATGCCGGTGACGGGAATCAAACCTGCAGCCCTTCAGTCTGACACTCTAACCCAGCGGTTCTCAACCTGTGGGTCGCGACCCCTTTGGCGGTCAAACGACCCTTTCACAGGGGTCGCCTAAGACCATCCTGCATATCAGATATTTACATGACGATTCATCACAGTATCAACATTACAGTTATGAAGTAGCAACGAAAATAATTTTATGGTTGGATCACAACATGAGGAACTGTATTTAAAGGGCCAGAAGGTTGAGAACCGCTGCCTTAAAGGAAGTCTCTTGTTGGCCCTTCCTCTCCATTTTCCCTTTGCTGCTAAATCGCCACCTATCCCCCCCACACACACACGCGCACACGCTTTAGAAACGGGTCCCTGTTCAAATGCCCTGGGCCCAGCCCACCTGCCACGGGTCCTTCTCGAAGCTCGCACCCTGCCTGCCTCCACATCACTACCGTTGGTCGGCTGTAGCAACAGCCCCGGCGCTAAACACTCACTAACAACAGTAGCTGATGGCGATCAATATCGATAGCGAGGGCTTTCGCCTGCGCCCGTGTTTTAAGCTCTTGGCCAATAGAATCCTTTAACGCCCAGCACAGCCCTAAGAGGGTCTATGACTACAGCCCCCTTTACACACGGCTCCCTCTTTCGTCACGAGAGAACTGGAGGCACGGAGGCCAGCGCCCTGCCCCAGGTCACAAAGGGTAGAGTGCTGACCTGAACCTGGGACGTCTGGTTTGGAGCATCCCGGCTCCAACCAGGACACCAAACTTACGGCCTCAAATTCCTTCTGGACCCTTAGTGTGAGCCTTCCACTGGGCGGCTCCCAGCGCCTGCTCTGTTCCCTGCATCTGCTCTGTTCCCTGCAGCCCAGTAGCTCTTGAGCCTGGCTGCCCACCCAGCCCATTACATGAGGATGAGGGGGAGGGGCAGGCGGGCACAGGTGGTTACAGAGGCCCCAGGCCAGGGGTGGGCAAACTTTTTGACTCGAGGGCCACAATGGGTTCTTAAACTGGACCGGAGGGCCGGAGCAAAAGCATGGATGGAGTGTTTGTGTGAGCTAATATAAATTCAAAGTAAACATCATTACATAAAAGGGTGCGGTCTTTTTTTTCAATAGTTTTATTCATTTCAAACGGGCCGGATCTGGCCCACGGCTGCCCCAGGCGATGTAAGTAGCAGCCAGAGGCCCAGATGCAGACCCTTGAGAAAATCATCGGCTCTGAGCCCGTCAATCAACTGGGATCACGGGCACCTGGACCGCCCGCCAGGCGGATGGACTCCCAGCCCCAAGTGAAACTCCTCACTGGGGTCCCAGGTCACCACCACGGCTCACTCACCCCCTCCGTCCTCCCTGCGGGCACGAGTCCACTGTGAGCCACCCCTCATGGCCACCTAGACACCTGCAGCCTTTTCCTCCATTCTCCCTGCTCCCCGCCCTGCATTCTCCCTTAGGGGGCATTTTATTTTTTTACATTTAATTTATTTTTACTGACTTCAGAGAAGAAGGGAGAAGGAGAGAGATAGAAGCATCAATGATGAGAGAGAATCATTGATTGGCTGCCTCCTGCACACCCCACACTGGGGATCGGGCCCACAACCCGGGCATGTGCCCCGAGAGGGGAATCGATCATGACCTCCTGGTTCATAGGTCGACGCTCAACCACTGAGCCCCGCCAGCCGGGCATCCTCAGGGGGCATTTGAGAAAGACAGCCGGAGCTGGGGGCGGATGGACAGGGTGTGACACCCCTAACAGAAGCCCGTGTGAGCGGGTGACGGTGGTGGCAGAGGAGCGCAATTTGGGAGGCTTTCGGGGTCACGAATGAGCGAGCTGATGCATGTGGGACGAGCCTGCAAGGACTGGCGAGGCCCCCAAAACACCGGGAGAGGAGGAAGGCTCGGCGTCACTCACCGCTCACACACAGGGAGTGCCAGC